ATTTATATATATATGCGGTTTGCTTAAAAATCTGTTAAATATATATTAATATATCCCTTAAATATATATATATTTAACTGATTTTTAAGTAAACCGCATATATATATATACTTGACGGTCCAATTTATATATATATGCGGTTTACTTAAAAATCAGTTAAATATATATAAATATCTCCGTTAAATATATATACATATATTTAACTGATTTTTAAGTAAACCGCATATATATATAAATTTGACCGTCAAACTGATTTTTAAGTAAACCGCATACATATATAAATTTGACGGTCAAATTTGACGGCGGTTTACTTAAAAATCAGTTAAATATATATAAATATCTCCGTTAAATATATATATATTTTACTGATTTTTAAGTGAACCGCATATATATATATATAAATTTGACCGTCAAATACAGAAAAGCACTGAACACTGCAAACGCCTTGTAAGGAAAAATGAATTATTAGGAAACGCTAATACAGTGGCAGCACTGCAGCTATTTTGCAATCTCGCGTTTCAGTTCGGAAAGATTGTTAACTTTTTTTTAAGTAACAAAATAAACTATTTTATGTTGAAAAAACTAGGTGTTTGTTTAATAATAAAGTTAAATTATACATTTTAATAGTGTTTTAAGAGTGGAAACCGGTGATTTAGTGAATTTTTGAAAAGGTAATTGCTCATAGAAAACAACGATATTTAACAAAAGTTTTTTGTTTATAACTTTTAAATGGTTAATAACATTAGCCCTCCCCCTCCGGATTGTTAATAGAGGGACCGAAACGCGTCGTTTGGAACCCCTCCCGACTTTTCCGGAACTTTTTTAACAGTTGCAGCCCTATACTAGAGAATTACCGAAACTGGTGATAATTTGTGATAATTATCTGCTATTTGGAAATATTATTATACATTTTAATAACAATCCCTTTTTCATAAAAAACTGTAATAAACTTAAAATATTTATGTATTTGATTGTGCATACTCTACTTGCGTATACGTGTATTGAGTGTAAATTTTGTATATAATATATGTATATAATATATTATGAAAAAGTGAGAATACTGAAATAGGTAATGGTCCATTATTGGAAATCTCAAATGTCTCTTACTTTATTTGAAAGCTTCATGTCGAAGCCGGCGCCATCTCCAGTAGGAAACTCAGGAGGGAAAGACATCACTCGGCAAGCATTGCGAATTCCACACAACTGCAGATCATGCTTCGTTATGATTTCACCTTCTTTATATACCTTAAATCCGCATTTAGGTATTGCTTCCAATAGTTTTTCATTTGTCTCAAAACGATCCCAGTCTCGTTTATGTTGGTTTTTTTCATCCTGAGCTTCAAACGAATTGTCTGCACCGTTCAAAAATTCTAAGCCACCGTTGCGACGGAACTTATCCAATGTTACCGTAACTTTACTCTCTTTGTTGCGTCGGTGCTCTATGCGTCGTAGCTCCTCATTATACTGGTGATCAAACTGTGACTGAAGCATTTGAGCGATTACAGCGTCAGAATCGCACTCGAAAGTTCTTTTTAAATGTTGTTCAGGCAATGGCTGTTTATCTACAGCTGTACTGTAAAAACAATCAAATTTACCGCTTAGGTCTGTGTTATGCAGAAATTTCGTCTGACTTCCAAAACGTCAATTCCTTTGCATCCTTACAAAGTATAATGTTTTATAACGCGAAACTACAAAATGTTGACAATGTATACTTTTGCGGATCCGAAAAGTTATCGAAAGGCATCGTTTTTGGTTGCCATTAGTGTTTTAAGAATGGAATTATATTAGATATTCAAAATTTGCAAGGTATATGGTTACAATGTTTCGCAACTCTGCATATAGACACGGTTTAAATACCGCAGAAGAACAGTATTCAAACAATTAGGGAGTTCACAAGGTGTTGTATACTGTCGTACTGTTGTATGTCATAAACTTTAAACGGCTAAAACTATATTTAAGGAATTCGCAAGCTAACATAAAAGTTTTATTATGAAATTTCACACAATTAAAAAATAGTTGGTGGTGATTTCAAAACCTCTAAACATTTATTTAGCCGATAAAAACTTTACAACATACAACAATACGACAAGTACGACACCTTGTATTGGTACTTTTTGGAAGTCAGCTTTTGTTTGGCAAACTGCATGCAGTTGTTGTTGCAGCAGACTCGTTTGGCGACTCTCACTTAAATGCGAAGTACACCACAAAAGCGGTAAACGTAATATCCCTTTGCTTCAAGCCATTTCTGTTGTACAGTTGCGGTCAAAATAATAGCAGCAAATTTCAAAATGATGCTGTTAACAACATATCTTTATTTATTTTTTGTTAAAAATTTTCATTTTGAATATGGGTAGATATATCAGATACCACATAAATAAAAGTTTCAAAGTTTGCACAAAGTTCGCAAAACCTAATTAAACTTAAAAAAATTTCATCAAAATTTCGATTTTTTTAATTGGATTTCCTAGAAATATTTCGAGTACCTACGCCCATTCAACTTTAGTATAATAAAGTGCAAGTTCTAAGTCGCTAAAAATTACACCTGATTTTTTAGAATTTGTTTGTCGAGGGTGTTGCGCATTTTCTTCCTATAACGCATGAACAAAACTTACTTTTATATGGAAGAAAATGCGCAACACCCTCAACATAAAAAATCAACGGTAATTTTTAGCGACTTGAAACTTGCAATTTATTATACTAAAATTGAATTCGCTTTAAAACTGCCTACTCGAAATCTCTCAAAGAAATCTAATTAAAAAATCTAAATTTTGATTAACATTTTCCTAAATTCAATTAGTTTTTGTGAACTTTGTGAAAGCTTTGAAACATTTATTTATGTGGTATCTGATATAGATCGACCCATATTTTAAATGAAAACTATTAACAATAAATAAATAAAGATGAGTTGCCAACAGCATCATTTTGAGTTTTGCTGCTACTATTTTGACCGCAACTGCATGTGGGGATGTTTGAAGGTTTGACAAGCCGCTTCAAACCTAGTTTTCCCATTTCACCATACACCATGTAAACATGACTCGTTGAACCAAAAATTTTAGTTTTCTTCCGGTTCATAATGTTAAAAATTACTGGTTTCTTCCATTTTTCTCTCTTACGTCCTCCCTCGGTGAAAATTCCGTTGCAAATGAGAAGAATTCATCATTCACAACGCAAGCGGTTTGACCAAACGTGAACATAGCGGCCAGAAAATCAAAAAATTTGGATTTTTTTTTTCCAAATTTCCCTCAAGCGGCTTGTCAAACATTCAAACACTCCCATACACAGCGCAAATGGCTTGAAGCAAAGGGATATTTCGCTTGGTTTGTCAAGCCGCTGGTGTTGTTAATTCTCTCTTACATTTTTTGGCCGCATGTTGTTGTTGTTGTAGCAGCATACAAATTCCCCAAAGAGCTTTGGGGAGTGTTGCTGGAGTGACAATCCTTGGCCAGATAAAAGCATGGGTCGTTCCGGTTACGTAGACCCGACTGTCGTGGGAACGGTTGGCCGCATGTTAAAGTTTGATCAACTCGCTTGCGTTGTGTATGGTGAAATCATCTAATTTTCCCCCAATTGAGCACGTAAGAGAAAAACGGAAGAAAACCACGAGTCGTGCTTTCATGGTGTATGTGAAAAGTAGATATGAAGTATGTTTTACAAGCCGCTTGTGTGGTGTATTTCGCTCTTAAATTTGTTGAGCCAAACTGCTGTAAAATTAGTGTTGCCATATACAAAAATTTTAGGTTATTGTTGGTTATACACAAAAGTTGCATGGAAATCAGAAGAAGGAAATTGAATTTTTTCTGTAAGACGTTCAAAGCACGATATGTATTTGCATATGTAAATGCTACTTTTTTGTATCTACTCGTATGTGCCATATATTAGAACGCACCAGAAAAGCAGCATTATCTTGTAATAGCGCTACGCTATTAGGAACCTTTTACGCAGACGTACATATGATCCCTGGTCACGGCAATTTTTCTCTAATTTTTTAACAGGCTGTTAAACTGGCTTTAGACGATATGTATTTGCTTCTGTAGATGTCATAAGACATACATATCAGACGGTCAAATGACCAGCGTGTTTCTTTCACTGAGTTGTATTTCTTTGGTCTATCTTTTACTACTTTTTACGTTTTGTGTTATGAATTGTAAAACACAAGTAGGAAAGGGTGTTTAAAAACATGTAAAATACAAACAAAACAAGGGTGGCTGGCAATAAGTTTATTCCACATACATATGTACTACTTTGAACACATCTGCAGCAAAAATGTACCATTCTGCTACTAAAAGGAGAAATAGTAAGAAAATACACCATTTCCCCAAGGACAGGTTTTTCAGTGCCAGGTTAAACTTAAGATCACGTAAACTGCGTTTATATTGAACAGCTGGCTGACATTTGATTTGCTAATCTTAGCTTAAACTAGGCAGCTTTAGAGTTTAAACTAACAAAACTATCAAGCCAAGAAAAATTAAACAGGGGTCGGTCCAACGCGGTGGTGTCTTTTTCCCGCTACTGTATCTTATGCTGACGACTTTCGACAATGGCGTCTGAGAATGGAATTGATGACTTGTGCTCGAAAGTATACAGTTGCCTATCCGAACTTCTCGATTCTTCACTGCAGAGAGCCTAACCCTCTTCTCTACAAAATCCCCGGCAACCCTTTTTACCACCTGGACGAAGGAGGTCAGACTACAGCTGGGAGTTCCCGTCGATGGCATTCAAATTCCGGCAGTCAATAACCCAAAAGTTCTCGGAGTTACATTCGATAGTCTGCTCTCCTTTTCGGCACATACAACCGCAATTGTCAATAGAGTACAGAGCCGCAACAAGACCCTCAAGTCGCTAGCCGGGAGCACCTGAGCTAAAGACAAAGAAACGTTACTGGCAAGATACAATGCGATATGCCGGCCGGTTCTAAACTATGCAGCGCCCCTGTGGTCGCCGGGGACTAGTGGGATGCAGTGGACGAAGCTGCGGACCTGCCAAAACACAGCACTCCGGACAGCCACCGGATGCCTTCTGATATCGTCACAACCCATCTAAACGATAAAATTGCATAACACAATGCGTACTCCGCAAGCAATTCCTAGTAGGGTGTCACCGACGTGGGCACCCGAACAGACACCTGCTTGCGGCGGAGCCCTCGTCAGGGTAGAAAGCACCTATACGAACTGACGGACAAAGTCCAGAGGTTCATAAAGCAAGCTCTGAACCCGACAGCATACCGTCAGTATTTACCTACACTGACTCTCGACCTGTGAATGCCCTTTTGGGAACACAACCACTTGGCGTCTGCCTCAAGAGAATCACACCACAATAGCCCAACTTCGCTCTGGCTACTGCAGCAGGTAAAACTCGTACCTGAGCGCATTACATAGATGCAGATGTGTCCAACGAGTGCCCGGTATGCGGAGACACCTCACGACTCGAGACATCTCTTCGCATGCCCCCTAAACCCCACTCAGCTAAAGCAAAGCATAAACGTTGCGACCATTGGTACAACTTGATGATGTGTACTAGATGGCAACGTTAGTGGGCCCGTTGAATGAAGTTGTATCTTGGTTGTACAAAGGTAAAAAAATTTTGATTTTCCAGCAAGTTTTTCAACTCGTCTCAACGTTAATGGGCACGTTGCACAACGTTATTCTATTTTGGGTTTATTTTCGTGGTAACCACATAATAAAAAACATTGCGTGTGAGTTTTATATGTTCACTAAATAAGGCAAAATGGATAACTCAGCCGAAATGCGTGTTTTTGTTGAATTTTATAAATGTATGCCACAGCTATGCAATTTTATAAATGAGATTGTGCAATAAATTGCACGCAAAATTGTAACGTTTGCGGACAAAACATCCAACTTAATTACGAATCGAGTGCACCAACGGTAGCAAAGTTTATGGCTTGCATAAGGTTATAGCAATCATACAAAAACATTTGCTGTTAGTAATGAATGTGGTTGTGTCAAAAACAGATGGTTTTCTTTCTTTATGCCTTCATACATGATTCAATAATAAAAGGTTTGCTCAGAAAATAGTTTTCTCGCTCCCTCTTGACAAAATCGGCTCCCTTAGCAAGGCACTGCGTGTGGGTTCGTGTGTGTGTACAAAGCTTTTGTAAGGGAGTTAAGGGAGTGTCAAAACTCGAATGTCAATAATGAGCAAACTTTTAATTATTGAGTCATGGCCTTCATATTCGTATGTATTTACAATGATAAAAGCATTAGAAGGTAAAACCATTCTCTCAATTCGTCGGCCATAATTTTCTTCTGACGTTTGCAAACATTTTAAAATCATGTAAAATTGAAAACAAAAGAATGAAATTGTTCACAATTGTGTTACCTTGTAATGTTTTATCATGGTATTTACTATATGTAAACTACTATTTACTATTTCCTTTCCGATTTTTCGCCGAATTTTCTAAAATGAAATGTACTGTGCCCACTTTGATTCTTTTACGAAATTTTGGAAGAAAATCTGCAAAGAAATTAAATAATGCTGCGATGTGAAGAATTTTTGTTTAGAATTTTCTTTAAGAAATCGTAAAGAAATTCCTTTACTGGTTTGTGTCAACCGCTT